TAAAAAGTTTCAAAATATGTAAAAAACAAAATAAATTATGCGTGTCCAAGCATTTTCCCGAAAGACTAACCGTTATTTAAATAACAAATATTGTAATATTTGTGGAACGTTTTCACCCACTTCGAATTTTAGATTCGAGAAACCCCTCCTTATCGAACTTCTACGCCCCACAGTCAATCCGTTTGTCAAAAATCAGCTTTAAACGTCAAGCAGTTTAAGCAGAATCGTGATTACTCATTGGTCATGTTTTATGAAACACCCTGTATAAAATTATAAAAAATCTTAAAATATGTAAAACAACAAAATAAAATATGCGTGTTTAAGAGTTTTTCCGAAAAACTCACCGGTTTTTAAATAAAAAATATTCATATTTGAGGGATAGTTTCACCCCCTTAGAATTCGAGTTTCGAAAAATCCCTTCTTATCGAACCTCTACACCCTAAAGTCAATCCGTTTTCCAAAAATCAGCTTTTTACGTCAAGCGCTTTAATCAGGATCGTTATCAATGGCCAGATTTTTCGAAACACCCTGTATACATTTTTCAAAAATCTTAAAATATGTCAAAAAACAAAATAAAATATACGTGTTTAAGCGTTTTTTTTTTCGGAAACTTGACCGTTTTTTAAATAAAAAATATTATAATATTTTAGTGGTGGTTTCACCCCCTTGGAACTGGAATTTCGAAAAATCCCTTCTTATCGAACCTCTACACCCTAGAATTAACCTGTATGCCAAAATTGAGCTTCTTACGTTGAGTGGTTTGAGCAGGATCGTGATTAATCAGTATGTCAGTCACTTAAGGATTTTATATATTAGTATAGATTAGTATTAATTCATTTTTGTTTCCTAAAACTATTGTTTCCCGCAGCTCTGTCTTAGAAAACTAGAACATTTTTTAATCTTCCATTATGACTGTGTGGTAGTATTAATATTACGGAAAAAAACAGTTACAAATCAAACACATTTAACATATTGAAAAATATTTCTAAAATTTCATAACTTATCTGGTTATGAGGTACAAATACTTATTTAATCATAAATTATATTATGCCTCGATGGATTAATATTCTCCCAAAATAAATTCATAACATTTATGATTTTAACAAGAATTTTTGTATCTTTAACAAATAACTATCTTTAAATCATTAGATAACCACTAAAATTGACAAATAAATGCCAAAAAGTAAAGAAAATATATATTAAAAACTAACAAAAATTTACAAACATATTTTTTTGGTAAAGTTATGAAATTATGTCTTCAAATCATTAAAAATAAATGAAATAAACTATTCATAGGAAACAATGCACTATAAACAAAAAATCCAAACTATTTTGTATTTAACTGGAAGTATCATTAAAATATTTTAACTATTATTACCGTTACCTAGAAAATGAAACAATGATCTGTATTTCCTTCAATTAAATAGTGCCTTCCTTCTTGTCTCTCGTTAATAACTTCCTTAACATTTTTTTAAGTCATTAAATTTCTCTATATAAACATTCTAATGTAGTTGAAAGCGTCCGCAAGGAAGATTCCATCATAATAAAAACACATAGATTGGTCTGATATTCTTTTGCAAATCGTATTATTATCAGATTTTGTTAATCGGCTGTCAATGAAGAAAATAACTACAAAAAAGAACTTTAAATTCGTTTTTCTCAAAGGTACGTTTTGTGACATAATATAGTTTGCTTCTGGGGTACAGAAATTAATTTTTTCAGTTTAAATCCAATAAAAATAAACCAAAACAAAACGAAATCAAAACGGAGAAATTATTGCCCACTCGAGTCGGCCAATTACAACAAAGACACCGGCACTCTACCACCGAAAACAAGGACAAACCCGCTCAATAAAGCGGGCGGAACAGAGATGGGGATCGAGGCGCGAGTCCCACGTCGCCTCGCAATCTTTACGAGGCTATAAAGTTGATTTCGTGGCTGCGTAATGCACTAAACACCTCGTAAAAGTCATAAAAGTCAGCTCGGGATGTTTTAATAGTCATTTTCGTTACGTTTTCGTTATCGTCCAATTGAATAATCTACGATTTTGGGTTTTATTGGCCCTGGTAAAGGTCGTGCTTGCCAATTGTTCGGAACCTGTTGATTTTGGTTCTATTTACTTGTTTTTGGTGTAAATAAACAATTAGGTTGATGAAGAAAAATAGTATTTTGAATTGATTTTAAATTTTAAAACATGAATTAGTTGTTTTATCGGAATTTTATAGTTTTGTTGACAATATGGCGAAGGAAAAATTAAAATTAAACTCGAGTTGCAAAATCCGCCTTATCAATTTAAAAAAAATGGCCTAATGATATACATTAATAGTTGACACCGCAATCTACGTAAATATAGTCCCAAACTACAGAAAAAGACGCCTAGGCCTATATAAAATTCACTACAAATTACGTTACTGCAGCAAAATCTGTCTTATCCAGTTATATTTGCTTTTTACTGCATTTTTTTATAGCAAGTATAGTATTACTACTTTTGTCTTATCCATTTCAAATGGATATTTTTGTATTCCTAATTAAAATATTTTGTATTGTTAATTTGTAGCATATAAATATATTGTATTATATCTTTATATTCACTAATGCTTTTTGTGAATTTATTTAAAAAATGTGTATCTCACACTAAATTTACTTGTTCATTGTAAATTTATCTTTTAAAATAACCAACTCTATAGATAACAGACACTATAGTCTTCTTCTTCTTCTTAAAGTGCCGACTTCTTGCGAAGGTTGGTGACCATCATGACTAATTTTATTTTGTTGACTGCTGCCCTGAACAGGTCGTTTGATGTACAGTTGAACCATTCTCTGAGATTTCGAAGCCACGACATCCGTCTTCTTCCTATGCTTCTCTTCCCTATTATTTTACCCTGGATAATTAGTTGTAGAAGCTTGTATCTTGTACCTCTCATTACGTGGCCCATATATTGGAGATTTTCACCTCTTGGAACAATTCTAGATCTTTTGAGACTCTTCGTAATTGATAATTCTGTCAACGTATGATATCCGGCGTACCCTTCTGTAAAGCCACATCTCGAAGGCATCTATCTTTTTAAGCATTTGTTTTGTTAGAGTGGCAGCTTCTATACCATAGAGCATTATTGTAAATATGTAGCCTCTTAGCATTCGTATTTTAATGTGGTTACTTAAAGTTTTGCAACAAAAGAATTGCTTCATTTTAATAAAGGTGTTACGTGCTATTTCAATTCTCGTTTTTAATTCTGATGAGTAATCATTTTTGTCGTTGATCAGGGTTCCTAGATATTTATATTTATAGACTCGCTCTATTATCTGATGGTTTACGATCAGTTGAGTATTTTGATTTGGTGTTTTGGTAAATATCATGAATTTTGTTTTATTAAGGTTCATATTCAAGCCCTAATGGATACTTGTTTCATACACTTTTTGGACCATTCGTTGCAGGTCCTGTATACTTTCTGCTAGCAGTACGGTATCATCTGCGTATCGTATATTGTTTATAGAAACTCCGTTTACTACTACTCCAACTGCTTCATTGTGTAATGCCTCCCTCATGATGACTTCCGAGTACATATTAAACAATAGCGGGGAAAGTATACATCCCGTTTCGTACACCACGTTTGATGTTGCTGTTTTCCATGTATTTATTGTCTATCTTGATGTTTGCTGTTTGGTCGTAATATAAGTTTTCAATAATTCTGACATCTGTGGTATCTATTATCTTTTCTCTCAGAATTTTGATAAGTTGTTCATGACGGACTCTGTCAAATGCTTTTTCATAGTCCACAAAGCAGGCATACACATCCTTGTTAACATCCAAACAGCGCTGAGTCAACACGTTTATACTAAATAATGCTTCTCTCGTGCCAACTCCATTGCGGAAACCGAATAGAATAGAAAGAATAAATAATACTTAGAGATAATATGTTGATATAGAGAGATCATGGAAAAATTATATTTACATTAAAAAATCGCTAAAATTAAGATGCAAATAATTATAATGACTGAAGATTGTATTTTCTAAGAGAGTTGGCTTTATGTTTACAGAACAGACTTGTAAACATAATTAATATAATATACTTACTCTTAAATTATAAAAACACTAATCACCGACGCACTGAGACTCCCACCTGTTCAAAAAACTACTTAGATTAAAAAAATGTTCTTCGTCTTTCCTCTAACTACGTTTTCAATCGATTACTTAATTCGCATCAACTTCACAAGAAGTCACGTGACGTGGCGTCGTTTTTTACTTAATATACTATGGTAAATTCACACAAGTTTCGTGAAAATGTCTAGAAACGTGCAATTTTTTATTTTGATTTAAATTTAATTTTTAAACTTACAAAACTCATTGTGAAAATAATATCGTTAGTAATAATTATTTAATATTAATGAACTGTTTTGCAAAATTAATTTTTTTTGTGAAACTATGGAAAAATATCTTATTTTTACAAGTTTCTTATTAAAAATACTATAATATATCAATATTTTTTTTGGAAAATTACTTACACGTTTTCAGTGTACGGTACTATTAAAAATTATTTAATTATAGATAATAAATTTCGGATAAAATCAAAGTAGTGTTTAAATTAAATTTCTGTTTATTATAAATTTTATATTTTATTTAATCGTAATTATATTTCTATCATATAATATGATCTAAATTCAAATGCATTCATTTTTTTCTTAATCCCGTACGCTTATAATATATCAAATCTAATTGAATCGTACGGTATTTCCACTCCATTTGACAACACTGTTTATGTGTATACCATTATTTATTGCCAATGTGTGTTTATTGTTCTTTAACACAACACATTAATTATAAACCAATGATCTGTATAGGTTTCGCTCTAACATACGATTACGTATATTAATTAATGTATCGCTTTTTTTGTTTGTTTATCTAGATTGCTGTTTGTTTCTTTTACCTGTATTTAGTTCATTAATTATATCTTAGCTCGGTATATTTGTTTTGATTTTAATAACAGTTTGTTTTGTTTCAGGTAATTGCATAAGAGTAGCGATACGAGAATTTTATCTGGGACATTTTGTAAGTACTAATTGCGTACATAGTAATTCTTTATTAGTTCGATAAACAAACGTCGTTAATTATAATTAGTTTAGTATCTGGTAATAGATTTAATTTGTTTCTATGTACAGGGTGGGTCAAATTCGACGCTTTTAAATGGAAAAACCCTTTTCTATAGGAGATAGACGAAAACTAATATCGGTGTCTGGAGCTCAATTTTCATTAAAAACATGATGGTGAAAACTGCACATCAATATCTGTTACCGTTTCGGAGTTACGGGGTGTTTTTCAAAAATGTGCATTTTTAACAAATCGCTGTAACTTTTTTACTATGGAAAATTTTGTATTGCTATGAAAACATTTCCAAAGCACCTTTTTACGTAGAATTTAATGATTTAAGTATAATTTTTTAAAATTAATAATTTAAGAGTTATCAACAGAAAAATTGATTTTTTATTTGGGACACTCTCTATATTTTTAATTAACTGAAAAGAATTTAAAATTACCTTTCCAAAAATATAGCACACTTGATAGTTTGTTATAATCCCCTTCGAAATACAGCATTTTTAAAAGTTCGCCACTTTTAACTAGTAGGCTTTGGACCCCTTATTGATGATATACCCTTAATAGAACTGGAAAACATATTATTTTTCCAGCAAGACGACGCACCGCCTCTGAACGCTGAAGTTATCAGCAAATTTTTGCAGCCTATTTCAAGAATAATTGAATAGCTAACCAAGATCCCAGCCGTTGGCCGTCGAGGCCGCCTGACTTAGTGCTCATGGATCTAATCCTATGGATATATTTGAGGAAGAATAAAGGTTCTTTATTCTTCCGTATAATCTAGACAAGAATTAGAAATACTTAGCAGTTATGAGAGATTATCTTTCACCCCCACTGAGTTAATGAATTCCGCGAGAAATGTTCAAAAACTGCCCCGTCTGTCCATAACAGAAGACGGTCGATATGTCGAACACTTGGAGCAAAATCTCGTGTCTTGGTTTGCTATTTATTTTTATTGTTATTAGATATAGTTTAAATGTGTTGATGTTGGTTAAAATATATTTTAAATTGTTATAAAATTCTGCATCTCTCACAGCAAATATTATTTTCGTTTTAATTGATTCTCACAGCTACAATTTTTTTGCATTACAGCCGGTGCCGTTCAAAACCTACTTATTTAAAGCGGGCGAATTTTATATATAATTTATATACTCTATATCTCGAAGAGGAATCGAGCAAAATAGCAAGTGTGTTATATTGTTAGAAAGGTAATTTTAAATTCTTTTCAATAAATTAAAAATATACAGGGTGTCCCATATAAAGAATCAAATTTTCTGTTGATAATTCTTAAATTATTAATTTTAGAAAAATTATACTTAAACCATTAAATTCTACGTAAAAGGGTGCTTTGGAAATGTTTTCATAAAAATACAAAATTTCCCATAGCAAAAAGTTACAGCGATTTTGTAAGTACTAATTGCGTACATAGTAATTCTTTATTAGTTCGATAAAGAAACGTCGTTAATTATAATTAGTTTAGTATGTGGTAATAGATTTAATATTTTTTCTATGTACAGGGTGGCTCGAATTCGACGCTCATCATTGGGATTTCGGACACCGTAAGAGATACAGGATCGGTTAAATGGAGGCAAAGTTGCGCAATTTGATACTCAATGAAATGCCGTATTGCATTTTTATTTTTTATTTTTTTTGCATAAAATATTTTGATGATGGAATTTTCTGTACGAAACGTCGGCAAATATCAAAGTGACTATATATAGTGTTTTAAGAGCGATGAAAAGATCTAATTAAATTGAAAAAAAAAATCAGGTCCGTATTTAAAAAAATTAAGTTGATGATGGTCGCCAGAAGCCGAAACGTCAGAGTCAATATTTAATCACACAGAGTTAGCAGAAAAAGTGGCCATGAAAATGTGTTTTTCGTTTTAAGTTATCTTAACAAATAAAGCCAGGAAACAATAGAAAACAAAATTGAAAATTCCGTTTTTTTTTCGAATATATTCGGAAGTATTCGGAATTTTTCAAAATGCAATACGGCATTTTATTGAGCATCAAATTGCGCAACTTTGCCTCCATTTAACCGATCCTGTATCTCTTACGGTTTCCGAAATCCCAATGATGAGCGTCGAGTTCGAGCCACCCTGTACACTGGTCACAGCTTATTTACTAGAAAGCCGGTCGTTTTCGCTGGTTTTTTCGTGTATCCGTTCATTTGTTCTATTTTTAAATATGACTCAAATGGGGCCCTTTGTATATATTTTTTTGTTTTATTTGCCTTGTTATGAGCTTTCAAGAAATATGATATTCTCATAACATAACATATTTTCATAAATAAGGTAAAAATGCATTATTCAACTTTTTTCCATAAATCGACCTAGATGAAAAGAATATTATTTTATTTAATTTATTTTAACCTGACAATTTTGTTTTCCATCCCTTAATAAACTGCACTAAAAATGAACTTGTGCAGCTTTTAAATAACACTTCTGTCAATCAGAGTTAGTGATATTTTTGATGCATTTGTGCAATAATTTTACACATAGAAACTAGAGTGGAATAGCCAATATCCACAATTTGACGTACAATAAATTAATTGATTGTTATGATTACCTAATTTAAACTGACCGTATGTTGAAATGGGGCACACCTTAGCCATCTGAGGTTCGCAGACGATATTGTCTTGCTGAGCACCGACATTCAAGAACTAAACACCATGCTAAATGAGCTAAATGAGCAATCCTAGAAAATTGGCCTTAAAATGAAGATAATGAGCAACAATATCCATAACATTACCGTGGACAACGTTATTATTGAAAACGTAGACCATTATATATATTTAGGTCATAAAATCAAGCTGGGCAAGGAAAACCAAAATACGGAGATCAAACGCAGGATCCATTTGGCATGGGTAGCATTTGGAAATATGAGCGATAATTTCAAGGATAAAAAGTTGCCCATGAACCTAAAGAAAAAGGCTTACGACAGCTGCATTCTACCTGTGCTTACGTATGGCTTAGAGACTATGGCAATTACTCGAAAAACAGCAGAACAACTACGAGTAGTACAAAGAGCCATGGAAAGAATCATGTTGGGAGTTACCATTAGGGAAAAAATACGAAATACCCACATACGTCAAAAAACAAAATTAATAGATGTCGTTAAAAGAGTGGCAAGTCTGAAGTGGCAATGGATAGGACATGTGGCAAGACAGGATCCAGACCGATGGCCCCAAAAAATAATCCTATGGAGACCTAGGGGAACAACAAGAAGTGTGGGCCGACCAAAAAAGAGATGGGTCGATGACGTCAGGGCAGTGGCGGGAAGACAATGGATAAGATTGGCTAGAGATCGCGAAGCATGGAAAAACCTAGAAGAGGCCTATATCCAACACTGGATGGAACCAGGCTGAGAAAGAAGTATGTTGAAAAATTAAATAAGCATTATATTATATTTTTAAAAAGTCAATAACAATAACAACAAGACATAAAATAATCATAAACAAATAAAATAAAAAATATATATAGGGTATTCTACTGATCGAATAAAAACGGCGTCAGCGATGGGTATGAAATCAAGATCACTGTCATTTTATATGTAAATTTATATGGGAAATATCATCGATCGTTTTTTCGATATCATTTCCCAGCCAACTGGAAGCCGAATATAAAAAAAAAGTTTGGGTCATAATTCAAGAATGACAGCGGAGAAAAACTAGTTGCGTCAATGAATTCTACCTAAAAAACCTTACGGGACTCCTAAAAAAATAACTTCTCGATAAGTTATAATCAAAATACGAGGGGAATCAAAAAAGCAAAAATTTAAAATTCGCCCAGTATTTTAGGAACTAAGATAGCTAAGTCAAATCTCTATGTAGTATCTTGTTTCATAAAAAAATAACAACGTAATATTAAAACGGCATCTTTGTACTTATACTCATAAACGAGAAACCCTGTAAAACACAGTAAATGGGACACCCTGTACAAAAAAATCAAGTCAAACCACGCAAAGAAGTGGATGATGAAGATAAAGTGTTGTTGGAACAATGTCGAACGATAACTGCACTTCAAACCAGTGGAGTAGATTTTTAATAATTTTAATTTTAATCAAATATTTGAGAAAAATCGAATTTTAAATCGGTGCATTCACCAAATTGTCCTGTTAGAGCCTCTTGTGTAACTTTGGTCTCGGGATTAACTTAAATATCTCAGACCGCCACTTTAAGAAAATATAAATGAAAGAAGAAGATATAAGTTGAATAAGTAGAATTGATTCTTTCTGCACCTAAGCAGTAGGTACTAAAGTAAGTATATAATATAATAAAGATAGGTACACGACGATTCTAATAAAGCATTCATTAATTCTTCTGTCCAAAAGATTATGTCATTTTCCATTTAAATCATCAAAACAACAGAACAAAACCACCAAAAAATAAGTAAAATATTTTTTTTTGGAAGGCGTCCTGCCACTACACAATACCAGCAAACATGTGATTCTCCCACTCCATCCAAAAAGCACCACAAGTATAGTAGAGTCGTATAAACAATAAAAGCGTTGGGCTCACGATAGCATATCATTGAACAAAATTTGCTACGTTCGGTGCAAACCTGCGTTATATTTTACATAACAGTTAAATAATTGATTCCTTACAATGTAAAATGTGCTAAACTATATGTCTAATCGTTGTAATGTAAGCAACGCTTTGATGGAAAAAGAGCATCTCCACTTGCAGCAATGATATTAAAATAGACCTGCAAAATATGTTATATTAGCGTATAACTATTAGTTACATTACATTGAAGGATGGGGGGATCAGTTTTCCATAAATTAATGTTTTTATTCACTGAATATGTTTTGTTCTAAATCGAACAATAAAATGTTGTCAGTTTTAACAATATGTCTATATTTAAACTAAAATGATTATAGTCTGTCCAACGACAAGATCCTTGACAGTGATAGATGTGTCTGTCATTTTAATTTCAAAGTAGTTTATTTTATTTT